GACAAAAATAAACAATTTGTCATTGTCATTGTCATTGTCAGTAACAACGGGTGTCGATCTGTCTGCTACAGCTACCATACCATCATCCCTGTCACAACTGGCGTATTAACGGCTTATTCAAAATATTAATTGTAAAAAGTTCGCTAACAAACCAACGAATGCAGTCCTCAACTGGATGTTACATTCCTTATATCAGCTAACGACCCTGTTTGTGAAAATATGCACTAGACATAAGATTAAAAGACAAATAAAATCAATATTAAGACCGCATAGACCACAAAACCGAATAAAATATGTCTTGGTATCATCTCTTCTGTATTAGATGATGGTAATGACCTGAAATGTTATAACGTTAAATTAGGAAGGAGAAACATGAGAGTGTTCTCTAATACTTGGAAACATGAGCAATAAGATGTAGCAACATAAACATGCATGGAATGGGGGAAATGGTGAAAACAAATCGAAATAGATTTTAATAAAATATTATTGTACTAAACAACTTGCAAAAGCGGTGAACAAAATTGTTTGACTGTAATTTTTGTGTTGTAGACCGACGACAGCAAGGAATTGTCATGTTGTACGCATGGCTCCATATACAAATTCAGATATACAGCCGGTATGAAGCTGAGAACTGAGATGCCCAGTATAACCTGCATTCACACACGGAAGCAATATACGTCTTGTGTGTATTTCCTCTCCTCTGAAAAATGTATCACTAAAGTATTTGCATTGTAATAAATATACTTTAGTAATTAATAAAACTTGGTAATTTGATGGGTCTCCGACAGATATGATTTTCAGTTTTTTTACACCTTTGATTGATACGGATTACGTACATGTAGTCACTGTCTCTAATGTATCTGCAAGTTGGAAATTTCAAATGTCATGTTAAAACACTGTTCCTGGAATAAGGCAGTTTCTTTTATCGGGTATAAATAGTTGATTGGTCTAGTCACACAGTCATTTTAACTTGATCGAATAATTTCCACGAAACCTTCCAGCAGAATGTTATATTTTATCATATACATGAATTGTTAATTGTAGAAGATACTTACATCCCTGTATCTCAGAACGCAAAACTGATAACATTCAAACATGTAGTACACAGTGAATTGTTACATATAATTTCCTGCATGTTGCTTTTTGATAAAAAGCCTCTATGTATACTACATTCGGTGTCCACTGTTAAAGGGTATTAGTGCAGTCAGCCATGGTAAATGGAGAGATAATAATAAGGTGATTAATTATAGTCTGTTGCAGAATATGCGGTATAAGTGTAGTCATTACACATAATTATACACATTACACATATACAGATGAAATACACGATATGACACAGTGCAAGATCAATTTAAGATACGGTTTCTATTAAAAATAATTACATGATTATGGATTTAATTAGCATGTTTAATGATTACGTTCTACATACATCTTCAAACAACTTTTACGGGCCAACACGGTTGAGATACAGCATCGGCATACTCAACTGGAGGTTTTTTTCTGCCGGTCGTAAGTTCAGTGTTTGACTGAGCACACTTGTGTCGGGGTTGTGATATTTCCTTCTCTTTGTTGGCAGCCTGCCACTGGCCTGAATTAAAAGAAGGGTCTCACCATCATTCTTCTTAATGATGTCTACAAGATTACGAACTTGTAGATGTTGGGGCGGTTAGGACCAAACATTTTCAGCTTAGAGTGCCACTCTTCCCAGTGTTAGTGGGCCTGGAACCCATGGTGTCAAACAGGTTCTGCACAATACGTCCATCAGATTATATCTACTGTTCAGCAACATTGTCATTGAATTTCAGAACTGGCATGATCAAGGATTACGAAGGTGAACGAGGGGAAAGGCAGACGCACGTTGATTTACTCTTAGGTTATTATTGTCCGGAGTTCACATTTTTGGGCATTTCCGACACTAATTAAACAGAGTTCACCTGCACATGTCCACTTTAGTCAGACAGACTATAAACAAAAAATGCAATGACCTGAAGCTCTTCAAGGGACACTGATCTAAAGCAATTCCCCGGGACTGGTTGTTGCCTTTGTTATTGTTTTTTTCCGTGAGTACCCGGATGATATGGCAGAAACCTAGACTAGTTCGCGACCTGTGCTGCGCAATTCGTAAGCGCATTTTTCACTTTTATTGATAGTATAAGGGCGTATGGTCACATTGATCAACAAAATGAAATACAGTTTTGGAAATGATAAGGAAATGTAGGTATCTTTGTGGCTAGCATCGGTAATGGTGACGAAGTTTTGATAAGTCACTTGCTTGGTAATTGTACGATTTTCATATACACTATTTTGACTTGCAACACAAAGTAAATTTTTCTCCTGAGCATTGCTTATTTTATTATGTTTATATCTTTACAGTCAAAATGTGGAAAAATTTCACTTAGGATATATATTAAACGCCGGAATATTCAGATATTTCACAAATTGACTGAAAAATATGTCCATCTGTATTATTATGATAACGAATTCCAAACATTTTTATGTTTAATATCATCACCAAGAGAATGAAAAGGTGGCGATGAAAAGTACATTTCTATATTGTTTGGCTTCTAATCCTACTTAATAATCTATTTTGATGTTTTAGGCCCTTTTGATCATCTTAATCAATTGTAGTCAATCTGTTAAAGAAATGGACAGATTTTTCAGTCAAAATGACTGAGATATTTACACATTTTATAAATTGCCTGAGAGAATCACATTTTACATACTGACTGTAATATATACACGCTTACAAAGGAAAAGGCTTGTGAAAACAGCGTCTAGCGCGCATCGAAGAATTTCACAACCAAGACATAGAGGAACAAGAATGAATCTGTCCAATGCTACAGCAAATGAAGGAAAACAAAATGCAAATATCATTATTACAACCTACCAAATTTATGTGTATAATTTTAGGCAGCTTCCTCGTTCGAGGAATGTATCCGTGAATATCCACATAAAAGGAACAATATACATCAGGTAGTATAGGAATATTTATCTTCTATTATATGTGAATGGTGAGATTTGAAAATCCAAATAATACACATGGTAGTATAAATTAGTTGGGTCATTGGCTCTTACAGAGGATGGTTGATGACAGTTGTTTTTATGATGAACTAGTTTGTTTTGTAAGCCTTCAGATTTCGGATTTCGTTGTTTAAAACAAAATAAAATCTCCACAAGACCGTATGACAAGAGAGATGACTTCAACTTTCCTACAGTCAACTTTCCAATAGTCAATTGCAATCTTCCAGTCGTCAACATTCCCTTTATGTCGAGTAATATTCCTGCAGCTCCAGCCTTTGAAGTCTGCGTTTCACAACGTTTGAGTATGAGCTTTCTACAAAGATTTCAAAGAGCGTCATACGACTCTTTCTCTAAGAGTGGTTGGGTTACAACATTCAAAGTCCCGAGAAGGTTCCGGGTTAGAATGTCTTCAGCAACCCATACTTGTCATAAGAGGCGACTGACCTGAACGGGTGGTCAGGCTCGCGGGTGGTCAATGCATGTCCGAATTGTGTAGATCGATGCTCGTGATGTCATTCCCCAGATTGTCTGGTCCATACTCGATTATGTACAGACTGCCGTGATAAAGCTGAATTATTGCTGAGTGCGGAGTAAAACAACAAATAAACCAAACCAAATACAACACTCAAGGCCTCAGTAAATATCTCAATTAGTTTTATGTCAGACATGTTAAGGACATTTCTAAATTTCACGAATCAGTGACACAAATTATGTCCCAATTTTGCCCCAGCGCTTTTCGGTGAGCAGTTTACTTGCCTTTTCCTCGTAATGTTGTTAAAATCGTAGAATGGACATAGAATGAGGTTACAGAGGAAATAATCAACAAGTTGCATTTCATGTAAATGGGCTACCGTTCTAAGCAACATGAGGAACACATCTCTGCTTCCTACTGTGTTGCCGAATATTCAATGTGTTTCATTTAAAACAATTCACATGGCAAATATTTGAAATATTTCAATCTACAAAGTATCACACACAAAAAGTGTAAACTTCAACTTTTATATCGTCTTTCCACAAAATAAAACCCTCATTGAATTGTTAAAATGAACTTGTCAACTTTGATCACGTCAAACACATTGAATGAATAAGAACATCAAAACCCCATGATTCGTATCAGTCGTGTGGTGACGATCCGAACTTTTGACTCACTCGTAGACGATATATAACGGATACGTATATACAACATTGTAGACAATATCACACAGTACTGTACTTTGTGTTTATCAACAAACATAATATTCGTTAAACGTTCTGAATCCCCCATAGCATTCAATTAACGCTCATTTGGCCATTTTTACCGTTGCGTCATAGAATACAGAAATCAGCGTCCCCATTGTTCCGTGTAATATTCGAATGATCAGATTTTACGTACCATAGCTAATTGCTGCGAAATATCATTAAAATTATCTTCTTTGTTTATAGTAAAACATGTAATGTCAACACCATAGAATAATCATCCCGATTAGCTGCTGAAACAGATTCCATTCGGAGTAAAAGGAAAAGTAGCGGTGAATATGATGTGAATGGATCATGGATACAAACTGATGACACCAGGTTATCTCATCAGGACCCAGTTTCACAAAGCGATCTTAGCCCAATGACTCCAATAGTTTAACACATACTTACGATAGTCGTAGCGCTAAGGACCGCCTCCGTGGTCTAGTGGTAGAGCGTCCGCCCGGAGAGCGGAAGGTCCGGGGTTCGATGCCCGGCCGCGTAAAACCAAAAGACGTTAAAAGATGGTACTTGTTGTTACCCTGTCTGGCGCTCGGCATTAAGGGGCTAAAAAAAGGACTGGTCGGCTCGGAGTCAGTATACTTTGTCTGAGGGGGGTATTCATGTTAAACTGCGGCATGGTATCTCAGTGGGCTAGCACTATAAATCGGCATCAGTCCAGACAAGTACAAAGCAGCCACACACACACACACGTGCATGCACGTCGCTATATAAGTGCAATAATCTTAGACGCGACGTTAAACCCAATTTCACCTCACCTCACCGTAGCGCTTAGATACTTTGTGGAACGGGACCTTGCTGTTTGTTTGATTTTGGTGCACACAGTGATCGTACAGTGTCTTAAAATGTCTCTACAGAACACTTATCTAAGACCTAGCGTTTTAAAGTGTATTCATACCCCATGTTACTTTGTTAGAAAGCGGTGAATGATACACATTTGAAAAGCACAATCCACCAATATAGAGTCTTTTTGTCTCTCGATCACTTCCGGAAATATATGACGTCATGTCGTGCGTATTGCAACGATCTCCTTGACATAAACACAGGAAGTGACGTCGAATTTCTTGACATGTCGGGTCCTTGGAGGATGTTTCCTCCCACAGATGAAAGTCTTGGGTGCATCCTCGATACACAACATTCCCTGAAAGATAGATTGTTCTGTTTGGTGTTTCGAAATTACGAACGTTTGTATCTGATAAAAAATGAATACAGTTCTCTGATTGTCCAACTATTTTCCTTCTAGTTAGGGGAGTGGATGTGAAGTTTGTCCCATACTTCATAGCTGAAAATTGCGAAACTATAGCCCCTTGTATATCGGAATGCTTAATAATTATCTTATCTGTCTTATCTGTATAATTGCAAACCTACCGTCGTTGTATCTGACATCGGAGTAGCAGCCGGTAGCACATGGACATGACATGAGTTCACCGGGGTCAGTTCCAGCCATGGTGCCGTGCACTGGACACCGGGCATTTCTGGACGTACACACATGACACTTCCTGGGTGAAGTACAACCTTCAAAAAATTGCAAACCATTTAACGAATGGCTGATTGCATAAGAACCACGAAACGAATTTGTGTGTCATAGACGATTGTAATAATAGCATATACTACGAGTAAACTTCACTTACTCTTGTTGAGCGTACTTGTCATTTTGTTGTCAGAGTATAGGTAGTAGAACTTGTAGTAGTCATCTCAACGGCTGTAGTGGCCGGTGACTGTGCAGTGGAGACAGGGGTTGTAGTAGCCGCATAGGCATCATGAGTTGTTGTAATGGTTGGTGTCGTTTTCGTCGTTGGTGTCGCCGTTGGTGTGGGTGGTGTTTCAGTTGGTCTTGGATGTGACAATGTGGCATTTACCGCCCATATCGTGTCATGCGTTGGGGACGTTTTTTGCTCCAATGAAGCCGTCACAGGCAGTGCTACCCATCCTCGGCCTGCTGCACACAGATAACCAAAACACCCTTGTACGTTATGTTTAGCGTGCATATATCACAGTATGTTTACTTTTTTGAATGCAAAATCTTTGCCAAACATCACGGAACACTATTACAATAGTGAATGCAAAACCTGAACGTCAGAAAATAACTAGTCTCGATTATACCCGAAAGAAATTCCATTGGGCGTAATAGTGATGACAATTATCTGAATGGATCACTGAAAAGTCGCAATGGGGGGCAGAATGTCCTTCTCTGCCGGAAGCACAATTTTCACAAGAAAGTAAGTGTTTGCCTGCTACCCAACGCCGCACCAAGCAGCACTCCCGCCACATGACGGCGTTCTGCAAACAATCGTGTCTGGACCAGACAATCCAATGATCAGTATCACGAGCAATGATCCACTTCGTTGGGGTAGGACGCCACGCTGTTAACAAAGTCACTAAGCATGACCCCCGATCAGAGAAATTATCTAGTCTTACTTATCCACATTCAGGGGCCCAGTCGTCAGTGGGGCCGCTCCGACACACCAGTAATCTGTGATTGCGGGTTCGAATTCCGGTTCGCCCCGATTATGTTAAAAATCTAGGTTTGTCAGCACCATACCCATGCTCGTGGGTTTCACCGAAGTGGTAAGACGAGACCTGCATCACTTCGGGCTTTCCTCCCACATTAGGGCTGACAGGCTGTGCCATAACTGGAATACTATTTAAAGCGGCGTTAAACCCAACTCACGCAATCACTCACTCACGAAACAATTTAGCACAAGTGTTGTGCAATGAGAATCGAAGCGTCGAAATTAACAAAGCAAAAATTCATATCTATATTCATGTAATGGTCCTTTCACATGATTCTTCTAAATTGTTACAACTTATTCATTAAAACCTACACTCACAAGTGAGTGAACGAGTTAGGTGGATTTACGTTGCTTATTATATCACGGCAATCATGCTGAAATAGGAGACGGAAGCCCACGGTGCACGGGTATGAGGCTGATATTCCTCCGCTTCAGACGACCGGAACTCCCATCCCCATACACGACGCCCGCTCGACCTGCTGAAGGCCTAGGTTGGATTCCCCGCATGCCGACGATAAGTGAAAAGCATTTCTGGTGTCTGGTGATATTGCTGAAATATTGCGAAAAGCGGCGTTACACCACACTCACTCACTCACAAATCAGTGTAAACAATACTACATGATAACAGGTGTTCTCGAAAGGAGGAGCATGTCCCGCTCTACAAGTAACTCCCGTTGTAAATGACCATCAATAAATTCATAACGTAGTTTTATCGGAAGTACTCCGAGGAAGGACACTGCTGAGGCATTCCATAGGTACCATGTGGCTGTATATTCCTTGACTTACCCTCCTTACAGCTGATCACGAGAACTGTAGTCACGGAAAGTGCACACATGAGGATCATGTTTAGTATAACTAATCCAATCACCGATACAGTCTTCAAAGAACACCTTTGTGATCGGACATGGTCGGGATGAGGGTGCTGTAAAAATGAAACAAGGATTAAAAGGTTCCAGAAGATAATTATGAACGTGTAGGTTCAACTGATCATGCATCTGGTAGGAAAATGCAAAATAATGATAAAAAGTCACTTACTAAACAGAAACTTAATCGACTTTTAATAAATTGAAACACGCGTTAACTAATTTACACAAAAATAAGCTTTTGGAAAACGATGATATAATATATCATAATCATAATAATAATCATGATAAAATCCATATTGGTACATACTACTTTATAATGTCAAGAAGAGAAATGATGTAAATGCAAGGGAAATGATCACACAACCATTCTACTTTTAAAAAAACAGATTCTTCAAAAGATGACACATGGCATACAAGTGCAACTCCACCAAGGATAGGTTAAACAAGATGAAGGAACAATGCAGTCACTCTTCCATGTCAATGTTTTATTAAACGCGTCTCCTTTACCATGTATTGTCTTATATTAAGTCTTCCCGACGTTGAGGAAAAGCGTCAAGTGATAAGCATCAGATTGTAACAGATCAATATTTACTAAAGGGAAAGGAAGAGAACACATCTAGTAGTGCAGAATACTGTTCACTGTTGGAGATGAATCTCATAAAAAAGATAGTTTCAGTAATTGAATTATGGTAAACATGTAGGTTTTAATTTTATGTCAAACAATATCTTGTTTATATAGAGTTAATGAATTAAAATATTGAGACGAGAGTAGTCAGTTTATGTAAAATATGTTGTAATTGAAATTAGTTAACGGGAATTAGAAGCAGCAGTAGAAGAAAGAGTGACAGCATCTTGCTACAGGCAGCGTCGTGGTCGCTGAACTATGTCCTGCCGTTTGGGGTTCACTAATGTCAACAAATGGCGGCTCAGTGATGGTTGTGAACTGACCGGTAGTCGCTGAACTGATTGTTCTTATTGTACCCCAGAGTCGTCACCAGCATCAGCTCGGTGTCCAGTTCTGTTGGGTGGAAGGTCCGACGCAGACTGCCCAGAACCACTGGGTTCCATAGAGCGACTGAGGTGTCTACCTGTGGATCTGGACATGTCTGTGGTGTCCACCTGTGGATCTGGACATGTCTGCGGTGTCCGCCCGTGGATCTGGACATGTCTGAGGTGTCTACCTGTGGATCTGGACATGTCTGAGGTGTCTACCTGTGGATCTGGACATGTCTGAGGTGTCTACCTGTAGATCTGGACATGTCTGAGGTGTCTACCTGTGGATCTGGACATGTCTTAGGTGTCCACCTGTGTATCTCGACATGTCTGAGGTGTCTACCTGTGCATCTGGACATGTCTGAGGTGTCTACCTCTGGATCTGGACATGTCTGAGGTGTCTACCTCTGGATCTGGACATGTCTGAGGTGTCTACCTCTGGATCTGGACATGTCTGAGGTGTCTACCTGTAGATCTTGACATGTCTGAGGTGTCTACTTGTGGATCTGGACATGTCTGAGGTGTCTACCTGTAGATCTGGACATGTCTGCGGTGTCCGCCTGTGGATCTGGACATGTCTGCGGTGTCCGCCTGTGGATCTGGACATGTCTGAGGTGTCCACCTGTGGATCTGGACATGTCTGAGGTGTCCACCTGTGGATCTGGACATGTCTGAGGTGTCTACCTGTGGATCTGGACATGTCTGAGGTGTCCACCTGTGGATCTGGACATGTCTGAGGTGTCCACCTGTGCATCTGGACATGTCTGAGGTGTCTACCTGTGGATCTGGACATGTCTGAGGTGTCTACCTGTGGATCTCGACATGTCTGAGGTGTCTACCTGTAGATCTGGACATGTCTGAGGTGTCCACCTGTGGATCTGGACATGTCTGAGGTGTCTACCTCTGGATCTGGACATGTCTGAGGTGTCTACCTGTAGATCTTGACATGTCTGAGGTGTCTACCTGTGGATCTGGACATGTCTGAGGTGTCTACCTGTAGATCTGGACATGTCTGAGGTGTGTACCTGTGGATCTGGACATGTCTGAGGTGTCCGCCTGTGGATCTGGACATGTCTGAGGTGTCCGCCTGTGGATCTGGACATGTCTGAGGTGTCCCTGCTGAAGGTTCTGTTGGTGTGTGCCATCATAGAGACAATGGGTGTGTCCTGGGCGTGCGCGATAGGTTGAAGATTCAAATGCATAACAGACCAGTAGCTACTTTCTGAATAGATTGCAAGGGAGGTGTCAAACTCTGATTGTCCGTTTTATTCACATCCTTGAACATGTTTACGACCTTAAAACACCTTGCCGTCACAGATGACGATTGATTCATGCTCACACTCAGTATCTAAACAGTGTACATCTGTTCACACACATCTGTCCTTTACCCCCTCGACATTCAAATACGGATATCGAAATGTAAGAGAAGATCAACGCCCATACTCCCACATCTACAACTGTAGAACATTCAGCACTGAGTACGTCGTAGAGCTGCATTGCAGAAACAGGCGAACGGGAAGTAATCTTGAAAAAAGGGCTTGCGTAAGATCATGCGTCATTGTGGAAAAACATAAGGATTATATATAGAGGGTGGAATGTCAAAGACTCTTCTTCAATTTCCGAGCTGTAATAGAAGCGTATCGGTCCCTGCGTCCCCAAACGAACGTTCCACAAAGCAGGACTGGCGGCAAAGCACCGTATTGTAGAACTGTCAACAGCGTGTAAGCATTGTATGTTTGGTTATACGTCAGCATGATTAGTAAACATCCCACCCTACCCACTGCTCTTGACCCGCGTATGATCACTGGAATAATGTCCAAAGCGGTGTAAAATCAAAATAATATACCACTAAGTTTTTTACCGACAAATACAAATTTCTCCGTTTTCTCATGGACTAGTGGTTATACTTATAGAATAGAACTGCATTTACCTAAGGAGGTGAGATGAAATGGGGTTTAAGGTCGCGTCCAAGAAAATTGCCCTTATATAGCGTGTGTGTGTGTGTGTGTGCTTGTAGTAGTCCGGACTGATGCCGATTTATAGTGCTAGCACACTGACATACAATGCCTAAGTTTAACATGAATACCCCACTCCGAGCTGCCCAGTCCTTGTTTTAGCCCCTTAATGCCGAGCGCCATACAGGGTAACAACAAGTACCATCTTTTAACTTCTGAATGACGCGGCCGGGGATCGAACCACGGACCTTCCGCTCTCCAGGCGAACGCTCTACCACAAGACCACGGAGGCGGCCTGTTCACCTGAGGAAGGAGTAAGTTATCACTCCGAAACGTTGTGTTCATCATAATAAAGATGTCGACATCCCTTTATTTTTCATCTGTTTTTCACAGGTCCTTGTATTAAAAATTGTGAACAAATGTAAACAGCATGTGGTCAGGGTCTACTTCGAAGTGTAATTTTTCCAGTTCTATTCAACGTGAATAATGTATTGGTTGGCTAATGAAAACAAAATCGTTACAAAAATAGTTTTTTTCTCAATGTATTCCCATTTAGTACGTAAGGTATGCTCTCAACGTTCAATAGAAACAAAATAAAAAATGGAAATATGGTGTATTATAAAAAACATATTTATTTCATATCTGATATAATGTTTAATGTACAACGGAAATTACAGTATTTTCTCATTTGATGATCAGAATATCAATGCATGTGAATTTTATATATCGAATGGTAGCAATTACACATGATTAATGAAATCATTGAGAAAATGGTAATGATGATATATATATATATATATATATATATATATATATATATATATATATATATATATATATATATATATATATATATATATATATATATATATAACATTAAAAAAATATCTAGTTTTGTAGCTATAGCTGAAGAAATATCTAACCCCGACACAAAATCCTAAACCTTTTTTCATGCTGACCAAAACAAAAAGAGGCCTTTAAATCAATTATTCAATAACATTCTCAAATTTAAAAGAGAAGTGTCACTTTAGAATCATTTGGGCCTTTTTGTTGAAATGGGGGTAATTTTTAATGTTCATTGAGTAAAGTACATTTGCATCCAGAATGTTGAATGCAGAATGTGAATGTTGCTTTTTTAAATGCTTTACAGTTTGAATTGAAATGGATATACATACATCGTGATATACATGCACTACTGGTAAACACAGAAGAGAAGACGAGACCTGCTTTGTGAGAGTGAATATGAATGAGTGGGGCGGCCCAAATGTATGCAGTGGTGACAGCGGCGCTGTATGAAGGGATCGCCTCACTTTGCCACCACCTATTGTTCCCAGTATGAAAATCAGTCAGGCATGCTAATTGGTTAAACAATAGAAGGCACCAGGGGTCATCTCAAAATTTTGATATATGATATGCACAAAAATTTCATTATTTTATTCTATATATTCTATACTTCTGTATGAAGTACGCCCTTCGTGCAAAGGCAAACTATATATTAAACATATAAGGATCGTCCATAGGGTCACTGGGATCTTCAAAACAGGTGTTTACACCGCACCGTCCATACATCTGTGGTTACTGCGTACCACTAATACCTATGTGTTTACATTAATTAAAAGAACAATGGTTGTTTACCCGGATATATATGGATGCCGTTTAACCACTCATTTGCTCATTATTACCTGTACGCAAAATAATGAATCATCAACCTATACAAAATACATAAACTGATATTATTTTAAATATAAAAACAGAATTTTGTTGGGGTCCATATTTGGTTGTGGTAATAATGTTTGAACTGTTAATCATTGTTACTCTATTGTTGTGGTCTTGTTTTAGGATGTGAGTGTGGATGTTATTTTTGGGTACGGTTGTTGATGTGATGTAAAATGCAGATGTGGATGAAGCTGTGCGAGTGTTGATGACGCCGTGGCTTTGGATGTTGCTGAAAACAGAGGGCACACGTGTGGGTGTGAAGGAGCACATGGTCGTTGATGTGAATGACGACGTAGACGGAAATGGGGATGTGAACGTGGAGGTTGATGTGGAACACGACATTGTCCAGTTAATGGTTGCGGATGTAGATGGTAATGTGGGTAGGGGTAGTAGTTGATGTTAATGTTAATAAGAATTTGGATGTGGCTATGGATTTGGCTGTTGACATGAATGTGATTGTAGATGTAGATTTGGACGAGGACGTGGGTGTAGATGTAGATGTAAATGCTGATGTGAACGTGAATGTAGTGTGTAGACGTGGGTGTAGACACAGACATGGATGTTGATACATATGCAGTCCATGTATACGAGGACAAGGACGCGGCGGCTACCCTAGAACTTATATCTAAAACCATGTCAACTGAGCGTCAAATCAGTATCAGATCAGATCAAAGTTTTGATATTGACATAATCCCAATACAGCGGATTCTAAAGTTCATAAAAGGTTATATGCTTTCACATACGACATACATCATTGACGTATTTCAGGGAATATATGACGTCATGTTGTCTGTATTGCACCGATCGCCAAGACAGAAACACAGGAAGTGATCACCCCCTACAGCTTGACACGACAGATTGTTGGAAGATGCTCTATCCCAAGCTGGGTACTCCTTCGTGCACCCTCGGTGAACAATGTTACCTGGAACATATGACATACCGCATATCAAACCTAGTTGTCACCAGCCGTCTGTAACACTATCTCGCCTACTACAGGTGGGTTTCTAGTATCTCACAGTCATAAAGCATACACTTCTTAACTCATATTCATGTATTATTCACGCACCATAAAGCCCTTTCTCTATAGGTTGACTTTCTAAGAGATGCTGCTTCAAATTTAAATTAATAAAAGGTAAGTGTTCTTCTCAAATGTCTAATTTACCAAAAGGTAGAACAAATGAAAATATGAGGTATTTGCCAAAGAATTTGCTTCATGGGAAATATTGTGGATATGTTTTACAAAATTTGCAATATATTTCATGCTGAATAAATTTCCAATATGATTATTCAAGCACTAAAAAGGATTGAGCCATTAATATCGTTATAATAAATATATAATAAAAAACCATGCCAGGTTTCCTATGTAAACTATTTACCCGTGACAGGCAAGTTGTTTTGCCCAAAATTGTTATTGTGTTTTCAAGTTTTTTTCATTGTTAACTAAAACTCTAAAACTACGGGGCGGTGGGGTAGCCTTGTGGTCAAAGCGTTCGCTCGTCACGCCGAAGACCCGGGGTCGATTCCCGACATGGGTACAATGTGTGAAGCCCATTTCTGGTGATATTCGCCGTGATATTGCTGGAATATTGCTAAAAGCGGCGTAAAACAAAAAAAACTCACTCACTCACTAAAACTACGGGTCTAACAGCTAAAATGTTAATATTATGAATGTGCCTGGTCATGTAGGCCAGTACATACTTGCCCTTTTCGTATTTTGCCATTTACGCCCAATGGAATCTGTTTCGTCGTATAATCGAGTCTGTTTTTTCTCTTGTGTTGACTATTTATATTTATAGCTAAAATGGATATTAGAATTATCATTAAACCGCCCGCATGTTATCAAAAATGAGCGGGCCACTGTACCTTGATAATGCCCTCATATTGCTTGACGACGGGCCATTATCAAGCCCGTTGTTAGGTGACGTCATAGGGTACAGAAAGTGACGTCACGTATTATAGTGACGTTATCCGGTTTGTTCTATGACGTTTCCATATTTGTAAAGGTGGGTCAGTGACATTCGTGTTGATTGCAGTAAATGTTTCAAAACCGATATTGTTGTTTCTTTTTATTTGATAACAAATGCCATCCATTTTAGCTATAATAATGTGGCAACACACTTCGCGAAAAGATGTATTTGTATATTTCTGTCGGAAATTGTGAAACATGCTCTGACACTCACTATCACCATGATTAACATCAGAGAAGCAGGCGGTACCACATGGACAGGGCATTACTTCACCGGGGTCAGTCCCAGCCAGGCTGCCGTTCACCGGACATCGTACATTTCTTGAGTTACAGGAATGACACTTGCGGGAGGATTTGCAGACTGTAATAACAATAACATGCTTGTAAATAAAGGGAAAACAAAGTAAAGAATGGGACTCCATATTCGTTTTCAAAATAGATAAGCGCGAGACCAAGGAAGACATGAATGCTAGACACTTCGCCAAATGAACGCTTTTCATCCCTGTGGAATTTGTTACTTAACGTGGTGACCATAGGTATAGTTCAGAGGTTCAGGACAATTTGTCAAACATGAAAGCAAATGTCTGAAAAAAACATTCTGAAAAATGTCTGAGAAAAACATTGTGAAAAATGTCTGAGAAAAACAAATGTGACATGCTGGACTTCCTCATTGATAACATCTATGTAACATTTGGGGGTTGGACATTCAGGCATCCCCATGGGCACCAATTGTGCACCCCTTTTTACTGATCTGTTTCTTTAGGCATATGAATCGGAATGTCTCTTTGGACTGGCAAAATCAAAACAACGCAATTTGGCCAAGAAGTATAATTTAAGGTACAGGTACATTGATTATCTGATATCCTTCAATAACAGTTAAACAACCAATTCCCTTGCACTGATTTACCGACCCAAACTAGATATGACAGTCACTTAAAGGGGAAGTGTACACGCAAAAATCACTTTCTTTCTTTTTCTAAACAAAACGCAATTTTAGAATTAGTTAGTATCTGTGTTTGAAAATATAAACTCATTTTTTTCACAGTGAAAGTAGGAAGCTCACATTAGTGTGAAAATGCTCTGCCGTTATGAGGCCTTCGTTTTTCGAGCTAAACAGGCCAGAGTTATCCCCCTTAGATTATGACGTAATTGGTGCCAATTCAACTGGGTCCCTGTCTATTCTCAACGCAAAAGATATCAAGAACCAGTTTGCGGTAAAACAGCATGGCCTACGACACACTCCGGCGCAGTGGTGACTCAGCATAACACTATGCTCGCTGGCATCTGAGACGCTAGAATCACACACCTGTACCTACACCACGTGAAGCGGCTCTAACAAAGCATGATGACGTCATGATGTTTATCAATTGGCACCAATGACGTCATATTGCAAGGGGCATAAGCCATGGTGTTTTTGTTGTGGAAATAGAACACTTGGTTAATGTGAAAAATGTAAATCGTTTTAATGCAAAAAATATGTTAATTAATTGTGATATTTTTATATTTTTGTCTATGACACTACTAGGTTAACACTTTTAATGTGGAAAAAGTACACGAAAAATAGGTTCATTTCCTTGTGAACTTGCCCTTTAACTAATGCTAAAAGCATAGACTTCGAAACCTGCCTCGAAAACGAGTGACATGACATATTCAAGGGACAAAAAATATGTTGTGAAATTATCCTAATACTTACGTGTAGTTGTCGTAGTCGTTGATGTAGGTGGAGATAGAGACGTTGAGGCAGTACTAGATCTTGGCGTTATCGAGCTTGTAGTGGCATTCGTTGTATTAGCTATAGTGGGAGGAGTCACTGAAGTGGAGGGAGTGATGGTAGTCGTTGAAGGCGAGTCAGAGATGGTAGTCGTTGACGGCGAGATAGAGGTGGTAGTCGTTGACGGCGAGAGAGAGGTGGAAGATGTTGAAGGCGAGACAGAGGCGGAAGATGGTGAAGAGGGGGTGGGGGCGGAGGGTGTTGAAGTTGAGAGAGAGGTTGTAGTCGTTGAAGTTGAGGGGACAGTTGTAGGTGTTGATGTGGAGACTACCGTTGATGTTGCCTTGGTTGACGATGGTGGTGTAACAGGCGATGCCCCAGTTTGTCCTTAACAATGAAAAATAATAACATGGGAATACCTTCGTGGTTCTGTCCGATACTATTAAATGGACACATAGCTAATACTTAACTTGTTCATTCGTTATTAAACCAGAGGGACATTCGACACCGTGCAAATAAAACTGGAAACCTGCCATGAATAACATTTTAATATAAATCAATGATTTTAACATTATCCCAGGTTTAAATGGAACAGAGATGTCCAAATGTGCAAGATCCAGTAGAACATTAAATTGATGAGACATAAGCGGTTATATAATACAATGGACATGTGCCTGTGATTAAGTTTTTACACATCATAGTCTAGAATCACATGACTCCACACTTCCAATACCAATTCAAAATCTTCTGGTATGTTTTATGATCTTAACAGAAGTCATGCTTGTGTTTCTCGTTATTCGTCTTTCATTGAGAAAACGGCAGAATATTTTATTTTATTTTTTAAGCTACATCCCCGGGTCAATCTTGTATAAACAGTATAAACAGTTTCTTTTGTAATGATTATATTTCCTGTTAAACGTTTGTTGTTTGAAATATCAATACATGTACCTGAATGTTCTTTGGCCTACCTGCTTTTTTGGCGAGTAGAAGTGCGCTGGTGACTGCCAAGCTAGACACAAGAACTATAATCAGTAGGACTATTCCAATGATCATCACCCGTTTGAAGGAGCACCATCCTGGTGTCGAGCCAGAAGGAGGGCCTTGGTTCTGTGACACCAGAAACAGACATACAGTTGAGGTAGTGTGTAAATAGCAATCGGCAAGCCAAAGAATAATTATAACCAGTCTCAAATTCTGACGAAATAGGTTCCTTCGGACGTAAAAGCAATAGAGTAGACTACGTTTATAACGAACACGCATATGACGAACTGGATTTTGGGTCCCAGCCATTTGCTGTATATATGCTGTGTGTATGTTTATAACGACTGACTGACTGAGTATGGTTTTACGCCGCTTTTAGCAATATTCCAGCAATATCACGGCGGGGGACACCAGAAATAGGCTTCACACATTGTACCCATGTCGGGAATCGAACCCGGGTCTTCGGCGTGACGAGCGAACGCTTTAACCAGTAGGCTACCCCACCGCCCCTGTTTATAACGAATTACGGTTAGAACGAACTAATATAAGTGGTCCCTTTAAATTCGTTATAACCGTAGCCTACTTTATAGTGATTTTATGAATTGATTTTATGATTTTTATGATATAGACAATTTTATGAATGGATCACTGGAAATATGTGTTCGCGAAAAGAGTAAGCATGTTTGCTCCACCTGTAGCTCCCGCCACTCAGCCTAATTCGGTGATGACACCAGGTGTTCGCGAAAACGGAGAGCATGACTGTCAATATGGAGTATCACCCAAACATATGGTCATTTGGGTCTGTCATTCAGAAGTTGTTTTTGTCCCTCACAAAGAACAGAACGTACATATTCCTTGCACCATATGGACAAAGAAAGTAATAGACTCTAACTGCCGTTCTTGAACACAGTATCATTTGTAATATCAGTAACGTATTAATTTTTATTACTTATGGTTTTCATTTCCCAGGGTTCAAGATAAGCGAAGTTAAATACTTTGAACGAATTATGATTTCATATGTGCTATAACAACGTTGACTAAATGCAAATACAATTGACTTCAACTTTAGAATGGTCAACTTTCTCTTTACGTCGAGCAGTATTCCTGCAGCTCCCGCTTTTGGTGTCTACATTTTACAACCTTTTAGGTACAATCCAGCATGCTTTTTCCACCAAGATTCTAAAGAGCGTCACACGACTCTTGCTCAGAGGTTGTTTGATCAAGGTTATGACATTCAAGGTCTCAGTAAAGCTTTCAAATTGTTTTATTGATGACATGTGGAGGATATTCCCAATGTGCATCATGACAAAAATGATGCCCGATGCAATTCCCTCTTTTGACTAGTACAATATATTCCCGCGTTTTTCAGGTGAACAATTGACTTGCCTTTGCATGTGTTTGTGACAGGTGCCACCGGTGGGGCAGGATACGCTCACCTTTTCGCGAACACCTGATATCGTCACCATTTTGATAGTGATTCCTAAACACACACACGTGATATAATCGGAATCGACTCTGTTTTGGGCAGAGAGGGTTTGGTTGCTTTTATTTATATAATACAAGTAGCATTGTGGCATCATGTTTAATGGCGTCTCATTAGCAACGACATCATCGGGCATCGTTGCTTCTCAGCACGGTTTATTCAATAAAATACTTCTTAACGCACGCTAATTCTATAAATTGTCGAACATAAAGAGATAATAACAGTACTGTGTCCGTCCTACAGATGTTATTAAATGCGGGTTAAAATTAAACGAATTCATATAAATTCAATAGTCCTGACACTCGTTTCGTAAATTCAGCACGACACACATCCCCATGAATAATCGCTAGATATCTCTGTGATCAAATTGTGTAATAGGTTTAAATTGTCTCTCTCGAGGAAAAGTCATAGATTCTTGGGTAATTCATCATACAGTAGAACACGGATATAACGAACACGGATATAGCGAACAAACGGATACAGCGAACTGATACCTGATTACCGACAAGACCATTTATCACTTATTAGCGACGTGTATAGCGAACTGAGAAATCTCACTCAGTGTCAAGTGTCACTGACAATTGGCTGTATGCAATCAGCGGCGAATCAACACAATGGCGGTGAATCAATACAATCAGTGGTGACGGATTAACCTTGTTAAATTTGCATTGTGTTAATCTTACCTGTACATGTAATCTTGTCTGTAAAACAAACAGTTTTTGACAGTTTGGCGGATCTGAACGATGCCGTTTCAAGAATGCAGTCAGCGAAACGAGGCCAAAGTAAAATCACAGACTACACATTTCGTATGTAAATCGAAAAATGATAAATATGTTTAAATTTTGTACATGTATTTGATAACAATCTTCAGAAAATGTTATGAATTTAATGTTATTAAATGAATGTTGTAAATTTATATCAGTTGAATGATCACTGCTAATACAAGTCAATGCTGCAGTTACGTGTGTATTGTGTTTTGTTTTATCCAAGATGGCGGACGTTTCCGAGCGAAAACGTGTATAACGAACAACGGATATAACGAACTGATTTCTCTGGTCCCTAGTAGTTCGTTATATCCGTGTTCTACTGTATTGCATTATGTCAGCTTGGCCTGCTCCAACACTGAACATATTAAATCTAACCTTGATATATTGTCGATTCGACGATAACCCACTAAATCACTCACTTGTAACACCTTGACCGTGCACACGTGATGCCCCACCAAGCTAAACCAGCAGTCGAGTATGACAAGTTATCGCTCTGTGTGGTGAATAGTCCTTTGTCAAGTTACAGTTGTATTGGCATCTGATTAGTTATGAATACACCATGCCATTACAAATGTAAGAAGTAAATTCCAAATGCAACAACTGTTATACTTGGGATTACACTCTCTTTGTGAAGTACAAATTCTAGTACTTTTTTGGTTGAGTCCTACACGGGACTCGAACCCACACTCTCAGAGTGTTACATCTGATTAGTTGTTTAAATATCTGGAAACAACATAGGACGCTAAGGATACGTGTCTTCTAGCTGAGGCATTGCCAAACAACTTCAAGCGAGGGCTTTATTAAAACAGAACCTGTTTATGTGGTAATCATCATAGCCATTGTTGTTGCTATTGTTGTCATTGTAACTTGGAAACTACTGGTCCGATTTTGACCAAATTTTGTGTGTGTATGCAGAGTGGGATCGTAGAGGCGATGTCTTGCAAGCGTTTCCTTACTTTTGACGGCGTCGGTACAACCAAACCAATTGGGGATTCGAACTTGGACGAGGCCGGAAACAGATTCAGCACTTTATCTAAGCAATGCGACAGAAACCCGGGGTCCTGGCGAAGTCAGAACACTAATTCGTTTGACTGTAGCTCAATGGACAAGGGAGCTATGCTTCCGGACTATTTGACCCCCTGCCACCCGGCCTGTCACCCTGCCCCAAGCTGCCGTACAGCAGACCTCTGAATAGCAGACCTTTGAACACTTGTAACTCGGAAACTACTGGTCCGATTTTGACCAAATTTCGTGTGTGTATGTAGATTGGGATCGTCTAGATTATTATTGTGTTCATAATGCCCTATTGTAATCGTTCGATTTATTTTTAGGGCTCTATGCCCTGGGACGACCTTGTACACGTCAATTACGTAGCGGCGTCCTTATTTGACGGCATTGGTACAAAGAATCCATTTGAGGATTCGAATATGAATAAGGACTGGAATGGGTTCAGAACACCCAAGAATGCTCTGGCTCCCGCCAATTTTGTCAAAACGGACTGATGACATATGAAGTAATAAATTACACTATAACATACTCATGTGCACTGCATTATAAAGTGGATTCAAATGACTGGAACTAAATGATTTATTGGTATGAGGGGCGGCCGGGTAGCCTTGTGGTTAAAGCGTTTGCTCGTCACACCGAAAACCCGGGTTCGATTCCTGACATGGGTACAATGTGTGAAACCAATTTCTGGTGTCCCCCGCCGTCATATTGCTGGAATATTGCTAAAAGCGGCGTAAAACCATACTCACTCACTTACTAGTGGCGTGAGATGTATTTTGTCCCGCTGCTCTGAAACCGTTACTCCGAATACTTTCACACTCTACGTGTGCCTGCTGCTTTAGATGCTTGACATCTTTTGTTCTTTAACTTTGGCCACTGGCCACGTGGTTTGGCAGCCATTTTGGATTCAGGGTTTTCACAGTGTCTTCGAACATGGACGGCGTCAGAAATTGGTGTAGAACATCCCGGGACGTTCTGGGACACATCATTGTCGTAGAGGCAATGTCTCGCAAGCGTTTCCTTACTTTTGAAGGCGTTGGTACATGCAAACCATATGCAGATTCAAACATGGACGGCGTGTAGAATGGGTTCAGGACATCCCGGGACGTTCTGGGACACGTCAATGTCGTAGAGGCGATGTCTCACAAGCGTTTCCTTACTTTAGACGGCATCGGTACAACCAAACCAATTGGGGATTCGAACTTGGACGAGGCCGGAAACAGATTCAGCACTTTATCTAAGCAATGCGACAGAAACCCGGGGTCCTGGCGAAGTCAGAACACTAATTCGTTTGACTGTAGCTCAATGGACAAGGGAGCTATGCTTCCGGACTATTTGACCCCCTGCTTCCCGGCCTGTCACCCTGCCCCAAGCTGCCGTACAGCAGACCTCTGAATAGCAGACCTTTGAACACTTGTAACTCGGAAACTACTGGTCCGATTTTGACCAAATTTCGTGTGTGTATGTAGATTGGGATCGTCTAGATTATTATTGTGTTCATAATGCCCTATTGTAATTGTTCGATTTATTATTAGGGCTCTATGCCCTGGGACGACCTTGTACACGTCAATTACGTAGCGGCGTCCTTATTTGACGGCATTGGTACAAAGAATCCATTTGAGGATTCGAATATGAACAAAGACTGGAATGGGTTCAGAACACCCAAGAATGCTCTGGCTCCCGCCAATTTTGTCAAAACGGACTGATGACATATGAAGTAATAAATTACACTATAACATACTCATGTGCACTGCATAATAAAGTGGATTCAAATGACTGGAACTAAATGATTTATTGGCATGAGGGGCGGCCGGGTAGCCTTGTGGTTAAAGCGTTTGCTCGTCACACCGAAAACCCGGGGTTCGATT